AAAGCAGAAGAGGACGATTGGAACGGGTGTTGAACGAGAAGGGGTGTATATATTGTGTGCATCATCAGCTTCTGCTCATGTTGCCAGTACGTCAGATTCTGCAGCACTATGGCATCGTCGTCTAGGACATCCATCTTCCCGTTATTTATCTTTGTTACCTTTTATTTCCAATGCAAATAATTTGGCTCCTTGTGACGTTTGTTGTAAAGCCAAACAACCACGAAGTCCTTTTCCTATTAATAATAAACGTTGTTTACATCCTTTTGATTTACTTCACTGTGATATATGGGGGCCATATCATATGGCATCTACAACTGGTGCCCGCTATTTTTTAACTGTAGTCGATGATTTTAGTAGACATGTTTGGATTTTTTTGATGCGCAATAAAACTGAAACTTCCACATGTTTACTTCGGTTTCTCCACTTGGTTCGCACCCAATATGATGCATCTGTTAAGCGAATTCAGAGTGATAATGGGACTGAATTTTTGTCATCTGTAGTCCAAGAGGCTCTCTCTGATCCTACGGTATTCATCATCAATTATCATGCACTTACACCCCACAGCAAAATGGACGCGTTGAACGTCGTCATCGTCACATCCTCAACGTGGCTCGTGCTTTGCGTTTTGATGGTCACTTACCTATATCTCTTTGGGGAGAATGCATCTTGACCGCTGCTCACCTCATCAACAGGACACCGACTCCACTCCTTGGTGGTCAGTGTCCCTATGAAGTTTTGCATGGCACTCCACCAAAGTATGATCACTTACGGGTCTTTGGGAGTTTATGTTACACTACTGTTTTACCCAAACCACATGATAAGTTCGCTCCTCGCTCCCGTAAGTGTGTGTTTGTTGGCTACCCTTTCAACAAAAAAGGATGGAAGGTCATGGATATCTCCACTCATGAAATATTTGTTTCTCGTGATGTTTTATTTCATGAAACTATTTTTCCATTGGCTGCAACTTCATCTGCACCTTCTGTCCATGTACCGTCACCACAAGCTGTCTTCACCGATTATGATGTGGCACCTGTTACTGCTATTGATACTCCCACAGCGGAGCTTGATGACAGGGGGAGTTCGTCCTCCCCAGTTCCGGGTTCTATTACTTCATCCACGGATGTCCCTGGTTCACCGGTTCCGTTGACAGAACCCAACACTGCATCTGTGGCAGATATTCGTGAACAGCGTGCCAGACGTCCCCCATCTCATTTAAAGGATTATGTATGCAACACAATGACTACACCCTTTCCTCGTCTCTCCACTTCTCCAATCGACTCAGGTATTCAATATTCCATTGATCATTATGTTTCTAATGCATTATTTTCTTCGCACCATCAGATTTTTCTTGCCGCCGTGGATAGTAACCTGGAACCCAAATCATTTAAAGAGGCTATGCAATATCCTCATTGGCAGAAAGCCATGCAAGCCGAAATTGATGCATTGGAAGCCAATCATACTTGGCAAATTCAACCTCTCCCTTCTGGTAAGAAAGCTATTCCATGTAAGTGGGTGTACCGCATCAAGTACAATTCTGATGGAACCATTGAACGCTATAAAGCGCGTCTGGTTATTGCTGGGAACAATCAGATCGAAGGAGAAGATTACACTGAGACTTTTGCACCGGTGGCTAAAATGACAAGTGTGCGTACATTTTTATCTGTAGCTGTAGCTCGAAAATGGAGCATTTTTCAGCTGGATGTTCAAAATGCCTTTCTCCATGGCGATTTGGATGAAGAAGTCTTTATGCGTTTTCCTCCCGGTTTCTCCCAAACCAAGTCTGGTCACGCCTGTAAGCTTCAACGTTCACTTTATGGTCTCAAGCAATCCCCACGAAATTGGTTTGCTAAGCTTCGTAGTTCTCTCCTCAGTTTCGGCTTTGTTCAGTCTCGTGCTGATTATACGTTGTTCACTTACTCGACTGGTTCCCATTATGTTGCTATACTTGTCTATGTAGATGATATTTTGTTGGCAGGTAGTGATCCTTCTCTCTGTGACCGTGTCAAAGCTCATTTACAAACCTGGTTTAAAATCAAAGATCTTGGTCCCCTCAAGTATTTTCTTGGCATTGAATTTGCTCGAAGCAAGACCGGTTTGTTTCTTACTCAACGCAAATTTGCTTTGGATATTCTTAAGGAATGTGGACTTCAAAGTTGTAAACCGGTTGCTTATCCTATGGATCCCAATCACAAGCTTGCTCTTGCTGAAGGACCTCCGTTTGATGATCCTAAACGTTATAGACGTATTGTTGGCCGTCTTGTATATCTCACGATTACACGACCAGAACTTAGTTATGCAGTTCACACACTTTCTCAGTTTTTGCAGCATCCTATGCAGATACATTACGATGCGGCTATTCGTGTTCTTCGGTACATTAAGTCCAATCCTGGCCAAGGACTCCTTCTTCGATCTGACAGTGATCTTCTTCTTCGTGCCTATTGTGATTCGGATTGGGCTAGTTGTCCCTTGACTCGAAAATCAGTCACTGGTTATTTTGTTACTCTTGGACATTCTCCTATTTCTTGGAAAACCAAGAAGCAAAACACAATATCCCGCTCCTCTGCTGAAGCTGAATACCGTGCCATGGCAGCTGCGACTTCTGAGCTTATTTGGTTAAAGTCTTTTCTCAGCTCTCTTGATATTCCTCATGCAGCCCCTATGCAACTGTTTTGTGACAGTCAGTCTGCTATTCATATTGCTTCTAATCCAGTGTTCCATGAGCGTACCAAGCATATCGAGTTAGATTGCCATTTTGTTCGGGACTATCTTCTCAGCAAGACTATTTCTACTCAACATATCCCCACTAGTTCTCAACCCGCAGATATTATGACCAAAGCACTTGGATCCAAACAATTCGATTTTTTGACTTCCAAGTTGGGCATCTCCTCCCTCCATGCTCCACCTTGAGGGGGAGTATTAGCGTAGCATTAATTTGTTAGGATCCTGATTGTAACTATCACGGTTTGTTACCTTGTATATTAAAATAGATTAGCTTGATTTATGCTTTCTGTTCCTTAGTTTTAGCTGATTTCCTGATGTAAATAGATTAGCTTGATTTATGCTTTCTGTTCCTTAAGTTTAGCTGATTTCCTGATGTAAATAGATTAGCTTGATTTATGCTTTCTGTTCCTTAAGTTTAGCTGATTTCCTGATGTAACCAATTGTAAATCTTGGTCTATATAATAGACCCAATTTAATATATCATCAAGCTGCGAATGACAGCAACAGAACTTCTGTTAAGTTAAAAAAAAAATAGGTATTTATGAGTCAGGTCAAGGTCAGATGAAGTGCAGAGAAGTGAACCAGTTTTTTTGTACACCCCTAAGTAGACTATGAACATATTCACTTTAAGTTTGTTAAAAAATTTCGTAATATCTAATTATTTATCAATAAATTGGATGATTAGAATCACACTCGTAACCATAAGATTCTGAGGATTGAATTCGTAATTATTTGATGACACATATTGTTAAATAGTTAAGTGAAGACCGCATAATAATTTTATATTATATCTTTAAAAAAATTTATTTATTTATTTATTACCACTAGTTTGCTAATTTATGTGAGATAGATGCTGTAGACGTGGAATAATTTCAGTGATTGTGAACTATATACCATTCAAGCTGTTAGAGCTTGACTTCTCCAAAAGGATTGGATTCTATTAACCCATTCGAAAATGAACGACTTATCGTTGTGTGTGTGGGCAAATCTTACGTATCTGTTCGGAGGGGGGGTTACAGCTTACCACCTTTTGTCAATTATCCAACGTCCAAATATTCAAGCACACCAAGTTGAACAAGTCATTTCCGAAAGATTTCTTTTTGTTTATTACATGGAAAAACAGTTTGAAAAGAATGGCTAATGAAATGGAAAACAAATTGTGTTGAAAGAATGGATCCGTTGAATTGAATTTGTCTCTTGATTTGGTATATGCATATAGCTGTCGACTGTGTGGTAAACATTGGTTGTTAAAATGTGTGTTGCAGGAGTCGCGCTTGAATAATAAGGCAACTTTAGTAAGAAGCTCGTGATATAGATAGATTAGTTGTAACTACTAGTGATTTTGATTTTTGAGGAAGCAACGTCGACACAATCAAAAACAAATCACTGGGTGTCATTAGTTGTGTTCTGCAACTTAGCTATCAACAGAATATGCTCTTGTAATGAGGAATCTATTAAAACTGGAGAAAGTACAAATTTAGGACTCCACAGCCACTCACCAAGGAAAAATCATCCTATGAACTGCAAATTGATGATTGAGATTTGAGAGGGATTTGTTTGGAGGGGGCAAAAGCAATTTGTAGCTAAGTTCTTAATTTTCTTCCATCTCAAATTAAAAGAATAAATAAATAAAATAAAATTCTTCCACTTGTGGAGATTCTGCCTCTAGTACGACAAGATAGGACCATAATAATGGGAGAGTTTTGGAACCATATTTTTAAGGGTCTCGATCTTGAATCACATCAATACTTGATTGCTAAGTTTGTCCTCTAAATAAAAAGGGTTTTGCATTTCTCATTTTAATATGAGATTAGAAAAATTCTTAAACATTCATAATTTAAATGGATCCCACCATAAAAAAAATATTACACGCAAAATGATCTCTCAACGATGTGAGAAAACAATTGTAGTGTTAAAGGAGAAAGTGTTTTTCGAAATAAAAAATAACAACAAAGAGAGGGAGGGGGGAAAACAAACCAAATCCTCTTCAGTTGTCACTCGGGCTTTTGTGCTGGTCAGGCCTACATATTCAATTGGGAAGCCCCATTTTGGTAGTTTGTGATCCACAACTGGAACATTTGAGTTAATAACATTTAGGTTGGACCCTACAAAAAAAGTGGGCTGGGGTGAATCCAGCATGCCTACAATTTTTCCTTGGACCTATGGAAACATAATTACAACATGGTCAAATTTCTCGAAATTTTGTTAGATTGATATTCCAAAAAGTCAAATATTAGAAAAGGAATTTTCTTTAAAGTATGATTTAACCATGATACTTTTTAAAAGAAGCCGTCCATTTTAAATTTACTCTTCACATCTAGTATCTCCTTCAGTTGTCTCTGCAAAGAAAATAGATTAAGTTAAAAACATCTAATCAAGACATAAGATAATTCTTCAGGATGTTCAACCACCTTATATAATGCATTCCAACATGCATCGGACTTATGATATTCCAGTAGCCATTTAATAGCCATCGCGTATTCAATTGTATTGGGCTGGGAACAATGTGATGTTGATATTGCATTACTCTGTAAAAAGCAAAGGACACAAAATGTAAATCATGTTTTCTAATACTTGAAGAAAAAATGGCAAAATAAAATCAATCAGCTAGGTGAATTAGGCTACCATCTCCTGGCGTCGCTTTTGAAGCAGAACTCTTCTTCTGATGACCAAATGACCACTGAAATTGCTTTGCTTGCAAGGCTCTCTTACAGTTCCCTTCTCGGCGCTCACAATCCTGCAGGAAACTTACCAGCAGTATATATATGTAGAACAATACTGTGCAAAGTTTAAAATGCTTCAGAATATTAGAGCCGTCTAATATCATAGATGTTTCTTTCCTTCCATTGTAATAACAATTGGTACATGCAAAAAGAAGAATGCATATGGTTAGCATTATTTTATCCTTCCCCCATCATCAACTATACATGGTTCAAGTCTTGGTGCAAAATCCCTGTTTGTGTTTTTATTTCTCTAACCAAAACCAATTCCCATTAAACTCCAACTAGCGAGAGTGAGGTGAGTGAAATTTTTGTATGCAACCTTACCTTTACATAATTATAAAAAAAGACTATTTCTCGGATTGTGAGGAAATATAAACTCATCCATTATTCTATGGTGACTTCCACATCTAGAGATTTATCATTAACATAATGAATTGGAAACTATTATGTGGTTTGCATCTACCAACTTACCTTTTAAAGTTCTCCGACATGGAAATTGTTGAGATATATAGTCTCCACATTAGTTGCTCATACAACCAATGTGGGACTACATATCTCAACACGCCCCTTCACACGAGAGTTCATTGGGCTTGAAGAGTGGAAGATGCAACAGGCTCAGCCTATCTGTGCTAAGAAACTCCACAAGAGAAAGTGGGGGGCGGCGAGACTCTGATACCATGTAAAGAACCTTGGGATACACCACCCCAAAAGCTAGCTCAAAGGGTGGGAGTGCCCAAGTCCTTATAAACTCCACATTAGTTGCTCATACAACCAATGTGGGACTATATATCTCAACACGCCCTCTCACGCAAGAGCCCTTTAGGCTAGAAGCGTGGAAATTGCACAGGCCCAATTTTTTGTCTACCTTTTTGTGCTTTTTATTTTAATTCCACTTTAAAGTGGGGGACGGTGAGACTCTGATACCATGTAAAGAACCAATTCAACTCAAAAACTTAAGCTTAAAGGGTAAAAGTGTCTAAGGCCTTATAAACTCCACATTAGTTGCTCATACAACCAATATGAGACTATATATCTCAACAGAAATAATGATTATGGCAACTAATAGAATATTAAAGCCATTCAGCTTACTAAGATTAAGGCTCTAGGATTACAGGTCTACATTGGTTTGCTTCTCTACCATCAATAATTTGAATAAACATTCAAGTACAAACAGTAAGCATAGGCAGCACCTTTCATGCTTAATTATCTAGACAGCAACTAGTGGGACAGTTCCATATTGGTTAGGTTTTCAACTTCATAATATAATATTTTCAGGAGGTAGGGGGTGTGTCAGATGTCATCCATATTCTTAAATCGAACAGATGTTATAATATACCAATCATAAAAATTAGAAGACAAATTCAACATAAAAAAAAAAGGGCAACGAATGAAATACCTCCCTTCTCCAAGAATAAGGCATCTATTGTTCAACTCAGATATTGCAGATTCAGCTGCATCTTTTGTCTTGAAAATAACCAATGCTCTACCTGTCAGCAGATGAGAAAACAAAAATAATCGATGATCTACAAATCACAAAACTTCTATTATGGAGCAGTGAATTTGATATTTCTCGTCATACCAATGAAAGACCAACAATAAAATGTACCATGGGATTGTTTGCTGGTTATAAAAGTAAAATCAGTAAATACCATAGTATGTATTGGAAGTGGGGCTCCATTCTATCATCCTTGCAGCTACCTTCTCTTTGAGTGCATGCCAAACAAGATCCTAAACAAGAATTGAAGAAAAAGAAATGAAGAAACAAACCACTAAACACAGAGACCAGATTAAATTAAAAAATAAACCAAACTTCGTCTTAAGAGGGAAGAATAGCTCATTTCACAGCCTATTGTCGCATCACATCCATTAAAGTCTCATTACATAATTATGAATACAAACATAACTCCACTCTGCACATAAATCACATCAGTTTCAACTAATACAAGATTTTTCACTTTTCAGTTGTTACATTGTATAACAATTCTACAAATATTCATATTAGGTCTCAGATTTGAAATTTTCATGAAGTAAGTCATAATCATGGCAGGTTTTTAATCTCTCAAAGTTCAATGAACAAACAAATTAGGCAGTATTAATAATTGTACTGTTCGTTTATCATAGCATCATCTATCGCAAAGAAAAATATAAGCAAGCTCTATTTGGTATAAAGTAAACAAACAACAAGAAAGAGTTGAAAAGTTGGATGTTATATACCTCTACTTCATATGACGTGTAGGATGGATCCAGATTATTCATTAAAACCAGGGTACCCAACTCTTGAGCATTCCGTAGTCTTTCGTCCCAAGGCTACAACATTATGTTAAGAAAATCAAGCATAAAAATAATTTCGTAACATATCCTTATGATAGAAGAGTATATTTGTATTTACTCACTCTGGATGTCATTTTTAACCTGTAGTATATATATGATCTGCTTTAAGCAAATATGTCTGGAAGCAGACATAAGAATAGGAATCTTTACAATGAGTCAATGACCAATGAACAGGAAACTTCATTCCATTCATTTTGTTCTGTTATAAAATATACTTTTTCTGTAGCAGTTCAAAAACAGAATTGTTTGATCATACTTTAAAATCTAGAAAATCAATCTAATAACTTAAATTAAAATCTAAATAAGGTCAGCGTAGCTTATTTCAAACCAGCCTAGGCCAGTTCCATGTATACCAAATAAGCCCAAAAAATATTCAAAAGTTGCTATATGCAATTGTTATAGAGTGACATTTACAATTGGCATTATTCCCATAAGTGAAAATTATAGCACACAAATAATTTTTGTAAGTTTTCGATCAATATCATGAGGACGTAAACTGGCCACTCAAAGTTAAAAGGATCTTATTTAAGATTTTATTGAAAAAATAAGGACTTCATTGGAGAATGATCTAAATGTGATCAACCAAGAAATTTTTTCTTATAGAAAAGGGCAACCATAAAATTATACAAGCATTTCATATGAAAAACTAATTTCTCTCGGCTAATATGTCTGAAATTCTTTACTAGCAAACAGCCTGATAATTTCGAGCAAAATTCAACTTTAAGGAATTATTCTTTAGCAGGTAAAAGAAGCAAATGTTTAGAAAACTAACTAGAACTTAGCAGATAGTTGATGTCATAGTCATCTCCTGGAAAGTCATTTTTGCATATTTACTCAGTGATGGAAATGAGTGTTTTTTTTAGATATTCCAATTTGTTCATCGTTTTGTTACTAGTCCGATTCCGGGCGAGTCTCGAAATTAAGGCTTTAAAACTCTCTAAAAAATGATACCGGAGAGGATTGAACACATACTTTCAACCCTACCTGCTTAGTTCCCTAACACTAACTGAACTACCATTATTTGGTGAAATGAGTGCTTTTCATATCGGTATTATACAGATAAATAAGGGATAGGTTATTCTACCTACCATTTTTTCTGCCTACCACTCTAAAATACCGTTAGATCAAAATCTAAAGAGAAGAGAGAAAGATAAATATTAATTAAGATTCTCATCTAAAATAACATATCTCAATAAATAAAAGTAAAAAACAAAATAAAAAAAATCAGAGTCTGCCTAAAATAACTTGCAGTACTTTAGTCATTAAAATGAGAAGCAAAGTTATATTTATAATTTTTTTTTTACAAACTATATTATGTACTTGGGATGCAGAAATATTTAAGTGTGCACTCTTCATAATATATAGTATAATTTGTAAGAATTTGTAAACAAAAAATTTATAAATATAACTTATCTCATAAATTATACTATGTACTCTAAGAACTATAAACAATTAAGTGTGTACTCCCGAAGTTTATAAAAATTTATAAACTATCCATTAAAAAATTACAGAAAAAGCAAACCAGTTCAAATCCTATAGAGTATAAGGTGTGGAAGTTCCCAAAAAGTAAAGGACCTACAAAATAAACACTGTTTTACATTTTATCCTAGGTACAGATTCCAGCTCCTTTTTCTATTTATTTCTTTTTAAATAAAACAACTCCCGTTGAAACACCAACATGTGAGAGCACGGGTGAGAAAATCCTTATATAAGCAATCTTAAGCTTACATTTCTTTTTTGCAAAGAGGTTAGTTTCCTTTTTCTATTATCCAAATAAGAAAAAATAAAAACTATTTGCTAGATAAACCCTAACCTTAAAAATGACCAAAACCTAAACCAAAATCCAAAATAAATGTAAAGAATGAAGAACTCACCACATTCTTAAACCACCTTCTTTTTTCCTGCAACAACGAAAATGGAGGGGGAGATTAGAACAGCGTTTGGAGTCATATATGAAACCACATCTACAAGTTACAGATTGTGAATTTTTTTATTTTTTTTTGGCTACTACCAAGATTCTCAATTATTTATATATTGCTCCAGAAGTCAGGTTCTCTAGTTAAATAATTTATATCCAGAGAAAAAGGGACATTCTACATTTTTCAAATAAAAGGGGTCAAAAAGAACTTCGACATCATAAATATATAATGACGATGAACCTTTCATATTTCTACAATACTTGCATGGTTAATTTTCTCAACACACCAAACAAGCAGAGAAATTATAGGGTATCTGATTTGTTCACCCCATAGGTTTAGTCTTTCAAGAAAGCAGATAAAATATGATAACAATCATGGATTTTTAGATACTTACTGCATTTGGCCTTTCATTCACCTCAATAACTTTTCTGTATGTTTCCACTCTCTTATCCTGTCTGCAATCTGCCTTCTTCTCATTAAATTCCTCATCCTTAGGGGATTTACTACTTTGACTAATGGTTGACTCCTCTTCTACGATCTTTCTCTTTTTATATGGAAAAGAACATGATGAGCTCTTTAGCAAGACATTCTCAGAAGTTGTCACTTCAGATTTATCTTCAACTTGACTCTGCAAGATATCTGAAGGAAGATTCCTAATCTTAATTACAATTTTAGGTCTTATGTTTGTCTCAACATGCAGATGGTTACTGGTTTTTTTATCCCCCTTCCTGTTAAAGAATTGCTCCACTGCAGAACAGTAACATAATGAACTAATGTATCCGGGAATGCTAATTTATGGCAACTACAGGCTCATCATGTATACAAAATATTCCAGTAATTAATTAGTCCAGATCAAATGAAATAACTGACCTTTAACTCCGTCAATCTCATCAGGAAATTTATTAACGATTATACGCTTTGCAACATCAAAAGTACAATTGAAAAAGAAGTCAGCCCTCTTTAACTCTGTTTCAGATGGCTCGGGATTTCTTTTGTCCTTCGAGGTGCAAACAACACTGCATTTTCCAATAATTGATTCCTGAAAACAAAATTTTGAATAGAGGAGATAGCATCAACAAACATCTAGATATGACAAAGACTCACATTTCAACTATGTCAAATTTTATATACCAACAAAATTGATATATATCACCTTAACAGATAATTCCCTCATTATATGCACTCAGACTATCATCAGTCATGTACAAAACCCAAATCAAAATAAGTGATTTTGATATCACATTTTAACGCCAAAGCTTAGGATATTAAGTCTACGAGTCTTTTCACTTGTATGGTTCTTAGTTGATTTGTTTCTAGTCAATATGAAACTTAGTTATTCTTCCGGATTTGAATTTTTTAAAATCTCCCCCTCACAGGTGAGACCCAACATTAGTTATGTACTCTCTCAAATGGAATCCTCTTGGAGGATTAATGGAGTTACCAACCAAGAGTAATCAAGTTTGCCTTCATAAAATGGGTTTGGCAAGCGCAAATCTTAACACAAACCACCATCTTCAAATAATCAACTCAATCAAATTATAAGTTTTGATACCATTTGTTAGGATAAAACCAGATATAACATCTTAACCGAAAACCTTAAGACATTAAATTTATAGGTCTTTTTGGCCCTTAATTATTTATCAGAATTTCTAATAATCTCCAATAAATAATCATTTCAACCAAAAAACTTGCGGTTGAATAAGGGTTACGTTAATAGTTTTATATTTTCGTATCACACATCCCTTGAACCCCGCATTTAACTATAATTTCTTCACTAAACTATCCCTTCACACAGAGTCAATCTTCAAAGAATGCAATTAATTAATACGGTAGATGACAAATATCAGGAAATAACTAACTAATTAAATAAAATTACCAGAAAATTGACATTGGAAACACCTTTGCCCACACCAGATGCCAAAAACAACTCATTCCAACGTGGCTGATAATCTCCCAAGAAATTACGAATCTCGGAGGGACGAAAAAACCAGACAACTTTGACCATCTTTTCATGGGTTGGTCTCTCATATATCTTGACAAGCTTACCGATAGAAGTATCAGTATGATCTGTATGGTAAAAGTAGACACAATCATACAGAAAGTACTCCACACCCTCGTAAACAAATGATTCATAGAACTGCATCTCTTTATTTTTCAGACCAACTCCCCTCTTAATGCCCCACTTGAAATCTCCAACATTTGGGTGTGACACTGACATGCCTTATAATAATGTTTTGCTCACAAATGCTCAAAGACAACAAAACACTTGGTAACTACAACAACACAGCTTCTATACTAAGTTACAAGTGTTATATGCTTTTTCAATTAACAAGAGAAAAGGAGGACGAAGAAGCTTTTTTTTCAGTATGACATTTTTGTTCTTCAATTCCTTAACCGTGACCGTACAACGTAGGCAGCAGTAGCATGCAAAGCATGACCTTCTGAAACGAAAAAGCAAAGAAACGTCTAACTAACTCCGTTTATCTACGCGTATTTCTAATTCTAGTAAAAGAGGAACAGTCAAAAAAAATTCTCCTTTTCAAAGGACGGTCAAACATAAGGTTATGTTTTTTTAATTCTATTTCTAGTAAAAGGTTCAAAACATCAATTGTGCAAATTAGGGTATATTGGGTGCATAGTATAGAATAAGGCATGATAGTATAAGACCTGATAATATAAGACATGATTGTATAGGATCTGATTAAATTTTAATATCATCTAGTGTTTGGTACGGTATTATAGGATAAGGTATGATAGTATAAGACCTGATAATATAAAACATGATTGTATAAGATCTGATTAAATTTTAACACGATATAGTGTTTGGTACGGTATTGTATAAGATAATATCCTCCAATATTTTAAAAATTAATATATTAAAAAATATTTTAATATATTAATATTGAGATGATATATTAGTTCTTGAGAATTGTACTTGTGAGCAATATTAATATATCAACCTCTTATCAGAACTAATCCCACACCCATAGACCTGATTAAGTTATACATCATTTTGATGTATTAAGGGGTTCTGCTATATAAGTTTATACTATACGATGGTCACGCCAAACAACTGAAAATGTCATCACATATAATATAAACTTATACTATCAAGCCTTATACATCACAAGAACAATTTCAAGCTTTGATTATCTAAGAATGTTGATTTTTCTTATACCAAAATTTGGAGAGTGGATTCTCTACCTGTATGATTTGATATGATAAGGTTATGTGAAAGGTTTTTAATCGTTTTTATTAAATAAATCTACAATAATAAGAGATGAAATAGGAAATATAAAATATAAGGTGGGAAAACGATAACTTTTAATTTGCCTATCAACGATTATAAACTTTTAGCATGACCTGATGTAAAATTAGAAGTGCAACATCCAATCCCCAAAATTTGAGAAAAGAAACAAATAATGGGTTTACACGTCGAAAAGCTATTTGGCTAAGAAATCCCATTGTTGGAGTTTCACCCCAATTGCTCTTACATGGCTTCTGCTCTACAATTTTATCTTCTTCGTCCTTAAATTTTTATGAATGAATATTAAAAAAAGGTTGTATTTACAAATATATATATATATATATATATATATATATGGGGAGGGTTCTTTTGACTCCAGACTAAGACTTTTAAGTCTTACTCCCCTATGTGTGTCTATATATATATATATATATATATATATATATATATATATATATATATATATATATATATATATAAGGAGGGTTCTTTTGACTCCACAGTAAGATTTTTAAGTCTTACTCCCCATCTCAGTTGTTGATGGATGGAAATCAATAAATATAACTTCCTAAACTATAACCGTTGGAATGGACGAAAATCAACGGCTAGGATCAGGAGTAAGACTTATAAATCTTACTCCTGATCAAATGATCTCTCTTATATATATATGGGGAGGGATCTTTTGACTCTAGAGTAAGACTTACAAGTCTTACTCCTCATCTCAACCATTGATTTCCGTCCATCTAACGGTTATTATTAATTTGAAATTAATAATTAATTATATATATATATATATATATAATAACCCTAATATGTAATTGTTGATTTAATTATGAATTAATAATTTTAGTCATAATATTGAAGAATAATTATAAGGAAAGTAGAAAAAAAAGTCACCTTTAGTGAAAAGGGAGTTAAAATAAAAGTTAAGGGGTAAAAATACGTGTAAACAAAGTTATCCGAAAAGTGAAAATAAAATTAAAAATATTATTGGAAAAATATTATAGTCCATTGGTTAAAGTTTAGTAACGAATGAAGATGTGTTGATAGATAAGTTTATATTCGCTGGTATAATGAACTCACTATAGTGACTCAAGTGAGTCATTATTCTTCATTTTGTTCTTCAACTTCCACATACGACAGAGAGGGACAGAAGAGAAATAGACTTTGAAGTCAAATCTTCCAAGGAGCATAACTTGAGCTAGAGTTAACGAAATTCATCTGTTCCAAAGCCAAAGTTGAAGTATGTAACCTGAGGAACAGATCTACAGTGCGCCTAAGAGTCTTGTTGAGGATCCTACATTAGAGGAGGTTTGGTGACTCGTTTCTCGGGTAGGTCATTTATACAGCTTCGTGAGGTGAGCTCTATGTTTAAGGGGTTCGCTCCTACTTTGTGTTTCGCCATAGTGTATGGACTATGGTCGGGTTGTATAATATGTATGAGATATATGATCTAGATGCATTCATATAGAGCTATATGATGATGTGCTATGACATGTTTTATGTGATATGTATGATGATTCTTGGCTATTGAATCAGTGTGCATCAACTCCATGTAGGGGAGAGACCCTTGGGAATAACGGTGTACACCAATGAGATATGAGATATTCCATGTAGGGGAGAGACCATTGGCAATAAGTGCATTGATTTCCACTTGGAGAGAGGTCCTTGGGGAATGACTGTGTACTTCAGAGATGTTATATAAGATATATTCATTACAGTATGTTATATGATGTATATGATGTTTTGTATATTATGTATCTGACTATCTTACAGGAAGTGGGCCCATGGTATGGAGAGTTCTCTATAAACTTGGAGCTTACTGAGATTCGTCTCTCACCCTGTTTGAGGATATGATTTCAGGTTTGCAAATAGTCGGTGAGTCCTCACGGGGCAAGAATACGACTTGTGGCTAGAAGTGCCATAGTGGATATGTGTATTTTGGATGATTCATCATCACTGTGTAGATACATGATCCGTGTGTAGCATTATAATGCTATTATTTTGGAGGACATGTATTTATTGTATAGTTGTGTTCCTACATTAGAGGAGGTTTGGTGACTCATTTCTCGGGTAGGTCATTTATACAGCTTCGTGAGGTGAGCCCTATGTTTAAGGGGTTCGCTCCTACTTTGTGTTTCGCCATAGTGTATGGACTATGGTCGGGTTGTATAATATGTATGAGATATATGTTCTAGATGCATTCATATAGAGCTATATGATGATGTGCTATGACATGTTTTATGTGATATGTATGATGATTCTTGGCTATTGAATCGGTGTGCATCAACTCCATGTAGGGGAGAGACCCTTGGGAATAACGGTGTACACCAATGAGATATGAGATATTCCATGTAAGGGAGAGACCATTGGCAATAAGTGCATTGATTTCCACTAGGAGAGAGGTCCTTGGGGAATGACTGTGTACTTCAGAGATGTTATATAAGATATGTTCATTACAGTATGTTATATGATGTATATGATGTTTTGTATATTATGTATCTGACTATCTTACAGGAAGTGGGCCCATGGTATGGAGAGTTCTCTATAAACTTGGAGCTTACTGAGATTCGTCTCTCACCCTGTTTGAGGATATGATTTCAGGTTTGCAAATAGTCGGTGAGTCCTCACGGGGCAAGAATACGACTTGTGGCTAGAAGTGCCATAGTGGATATGTGTATTTTGGATGATTCATCATCACTGTGTAGATACATGATCCGTGTGTAGCATTATAATGCTATTATTTTGGAGGACATGTATTTATTGTATAGTTGTGTTCTATTCATTTTGCGATCATGATGTATGATCCATTATACTGTATATGCTCTATATATGTTTTGTACATGTTTTAAGTTTTGATACATGTACTTTTGAGTATCCATGCATGTTATATGATGATTTAGTATACAGATATGTGCATGTGCTGAGAAATGTATGTTGTTAGATATAGTGGCACAGAGCCATTTATGCATGTACTTATGGAGGGGTTTTAGATCCTTTGTTGAACCATATATGATTATATGAAATTTCTGTGATTATATGTTTATCAGGTATGGATTATGAGAGTGGAATTTAATCCCCATTTGTTCGATTTACAACCATTACGCTGTCTGATTTTAGACTCTGTTTGGATTGACACTTGTTGTCATATTCAAATGGTAAAGGGCCACCGCATATGGTAATGAATGAAATATGAAAGTTTAGAAAATAAATTATGATTGATAAGAAAGGTGGAACGTAAGAGGAAAAAGTTAGTTGAACCAGCTCGAGACAGAGATGTTACAATATATATATATATATATATATATATATATATATATATATATATATATATATCACGTCAACATCAACAACATCTTTATCCCAAATTAATTGGGGTCGGTGGAAAAAAAAACCACAACCAAATCATCCTAGTTGGTGATGCTTCCTTGAGACAGTGACCGTGACCGCAACCACCCTCTTTCTTCTTCCTTCAGTGAGCATGGGAAGAGTCTGAGCAAAATGGCGTCACGTGAAACTCCATTCATCTTCAAGGTGTCACAGTAGAGCAAGAAATTCTCTAGATGACTGTAGGGGTCTTCGATGCTTCCTCTAGCGAACTGATATTTTTAAATCAGTTGCAGCAGTGCTGGCTTGAGCTCAAAGTTATTAGCTTCCACATTGGGTCTAACAATACTCGTCGTCTGTGAAACTCGGGCTGGAGTCATGTAATATCCCACAGTTCTGGGAGGATTTTGAATCGCGTTGTTGTCAGCCATAGTTTCTTCCTTTGGTTCCGTCGAGCTTAATGCTTTTGCTTCTTTTGCTTTTCTTTCTTTTGCGCTTTTTTTGAGTTTTCTGGCTGTCATTTTTATGTGATGAACCCATTTATATATATATATATATATATGGAAAATAATTTGTACTTTAAAAGGATGTAAGTTGTGTCTTTTTAGTCTTTTACTCTATGTACTCCCGATAGTACATAATTA